CCGCCAAGCGGGAGGCAGGGGTCAAGGTCCCTCGCAAAACCGTCCTAGGAATAGGTCTCCCTATAGAGTAGGAGGATGGCACCCAGGGCTACCTCGGGGTAGGCCTCGGGAATCTTTGGGTCTGGACCAGGACTTATGGCAAAAACGATTGGACCCGGGTCAGTGCATTTTCTGCGGTGACCCGGGCCATATCATCAAATATTGTCCCAAGTATAGAGAGACCCGAACGGCTGCCCAAGGGCCAAAAGGCAGCCGCCGGTAGGGGTAGCAACTGCCCCTACCACTAGGCCATGTGGGGAAAATAGCGCTAGCCGGCAGGAGACTCCCACACCACATGTGCCTACGACAGAGGTTGCAGGCCGGTGTCTAGACAGCTATCCCAAAATTGCTTGTGTTAGAGTTTCGCTAGACACCTCCCTCACAGGCGTGGCCGAAGAGTTGAAGGAGAGGATGCCCGCCTGGGCCAAGATGAAGAAGGAGAACAAAGGGCAGTTTATATTACTAGATACACAAATTTTTAGAAGTAGAGTAGGGGCCCTAGTAGACTCAGGGGCCACTCGCAGCTATATTAGTAGGAAAGCGCTGCAGAAGTTGAGGCTGGGACTGAAAGTCCAGAAACTGACAGACCCCATAGTTAGTATCCTCGCGGGCAATCGTACTATGATTGTAGAGGATTACGTAGAGGGAGTCCAGGCGTATTTCCGCCTAGAGAAAGATGGGAAAGTGGAGAAGGTCCTCCACTCCCTGACTCTCCTCGTAAAGGACAGCCTCCCATTTGACATTGTCCTGGGAATGGGGAGAGGCAGCCGGGGCCACGCTCCATTTGAAGGAGCACGAGTGTAGGCTCCCTAGTTCGCCAGGCGAGGCCAAGACTGCCCGCCTGTTCCATGTGTCAGGGGTAGAGAATTCCTTGGCGCACTGCTGCCTTAGTGCCCCCGCGTTCGCCAGACTGGTGAAGAAGGAGGGATTGGAGGAACAGGTCTTTGTTGCCTATGTTAGGCCAGTGACTGAGCCTACGGAGGAGAAGCCGATGGACCCCGCGATTGCCAAGCTGCTGGAAGAGTTTAAGGGTTTGACTGAGCCGCCGACAGGCACGGTGCCGCGGCCCATCCARCACCGTATTGAGATAGAGCCTGGCAGCAGAACTCCTAAGGGTGCGGTGTATAGGATGTCTCCGCGGGAGTTAGAGGAGTTGCGGAAACAGTTGGACGAGCTCCTTGAAAAGGGTTGGATTAGGCCTAGTTCGTCTCCTTTTGGAGCCCCTGTTCTCTTTGTACCTAAGAAAGAGGGAGAGCTAAGGATGTGTATAGACTATAGGGTCTGAATGCCATTACAGTGAAGAGGAAGTGCAGGGGGCGAAGTATTTCTCCAAGATAGATTTGAAGTCCGGACATCATCAGATAGAGGTACATCCTGATGATCAGTACAAGACGGCCTTCCGGACTAGATATGGGCACTACGAGTTCATAGTGATGCCCTTTGGACTAACCAATGCGCCAGCTACGTTCCAGCGCTGTATGAACGATTTGTTTAGGTCGTGGTTAAACAGGTTTGTTGTAGTTTATCTAGATGACATTCTCGTGTTTAGCAGGACCCTCGAAGAGCATCAGGGTCATCTCAGGCAGTCTTGGAGAAGTTGAGGGAAGCTAACTTCAAGATCAATGTGTGTGATTGGGCAAAGACCCAAGTTCTGTACCTAGGCCACGTCTTAGACAGAGACGGCGTTAAGCTAGAAGATAGCAAGATCGCAACGATTAGAGATTGGCCCACGCCATGTATGCTGACAGAGTTGCGCTCGTTCCTGGGCCTAGCTAACTACTATAGGAAGTTCGTGAGAAAGGCGCAGTGTTACACCAAGACGATGGCAATGGCTATAGACCCGTAGAGTTCATGTCCACCAGGATGCCTTCAGAGAAGGTCGCGACATCTACCTATGAAAGGGAACTCTACGCTCTCAGGCAAGCATTAGACCATTGGAAGCACTACTTGCTTGGGAGGCACTTCAAAGTCTATTCTGACCATGAGACATTATGATGGTTAAAGACGCAGGCCAAGATGACACCTAAGCTTACTAGGTGGGCCGCAGAGATAGATCAGTATGACTTTGAGCTCAAGCCTGTCAAAGGGAAGTACAGCGTAGTCGCGGATGCTCAGAGTAGGAGAGCGGATTACTTTGGGGCAATAGTACATTACCTCGATATAGGGAAGGACCTGCAGCAGAGGGTTAAAGAAGCTTACGCGCAGGACCCTATCTATAGTGAGCTCCTTAAGAAAGTCAAGGAGGCCCCAGAGACTGAACCGAATTACCGCACTACCGAAGGGTTGCTTTTTGAGAAGACTAATGTGTCTGACCGCCTGTGCATCCCCAATAGCGAAGAGATTCGTAGTCTGATTCTGGGCGAATGCCATGACACAGAGGGTCATTTTGGTTGGCAAAAGACTTTAGCCAATCTTATGCGTGCGTATACCTGGCCAGGGATGAAGAATGACTGCGTAGAGTATGTTCGCAGTTGCAAAGTCTGCCAGCGTAATAAGAGTTCTACGCGCGCCCCGCTAGGTCTTCTCAGACCCTTGCCCATTCTGGATCAGCCGGGAGACTTAGTGTCAATCGATTTCATGGACACTCAAGTCAAGAGCAGGCATGGCAAGAGCCAAGTCATGGTCATAGTTGACCGCTTTAGCAAGTACGCAGTTTTTGTTCCTTTGCCTTCTGAGGCGCGTACTGATTTAGTCATACAGAGGTTCTTTGACTGTTGGGTTCGTGAGAACGGAATCCTGCTGTCAATAGTTAGTGATAGAGATAGTCGTTTCACCAGCGAGAACTGGCAAGAACTCATGGAAGTATATGGATCCAAGTTGTTGATGTCGTCCGGCCGTCATCCAGAGACTAACGGTCAGACGGAGCAAATGAACAAGATCCTACAGCAAGTTCTGTGCATTCCCAACGTTGCCCAAAGTAGCTAGTGCGTACAATAATAGCGTGCATCTGTCTACATGTCGCACTCCCAACGAACTGCACAAGTCCTTTAGACCGCGCAAACCGTTTGAGGGACTCAACCGGGATCAGATTCACAGATTGCCGCCCGGGACCCGGGAGTTTGCTGTGCAGCACGAGAGAGAACTAGCTACCGTTGTAGAAAACCTCAGGAAAGCCCAGCATAAGATGATAGAGCAAGCGAACAAACATCGTCGCCCTTCACAGTTCCAAGTAGGCGACTTAGTCTGGGTTAGTTCCAAAGAGTTTGCGCCTGAGGAGAACATCTCGCAGAAGTTACTGCCCACATATAGAGGATCGTGGCCTGTTCTAGAGGTCAAGGGCGACGAAGATGGACCGTCCTATACCATAGAGCTACCAACACACCTCCACACTTACCCAGTTTTCCATGCGTCAAAGTTGTTACCTTGTCAGACAAGTGACCAGTTTCCATCCCGTAGATCGATGATCCCACCGGATATGGATGGAAGATACGACATAGATGGTATGGTGGCTGAAGATGTTTTCAAAACTGGAGGTAGGGGTCGTCCGCAGAAACAGTACAAGGTTCATTTCAGTTATCAAGAACCGGAAGACGACCGCTGGTTTACAAGATCCGAACTTCTAGAGACAGCTCCCGATATAGTCCGGGCCTCTGAGAGACAGCAGAAGGGTAAAGGTCCTGCCTTGGACTGAAATTTTCTCGGAGGACCTCGAAATTACGCCGGCGGGAGTGAAACGGTATTCACCAGTTCGCAGTAGCGAATGCAGATCCTAGGGCTCGATCCCTAGTTCCCCATCTTACCTGTGTACAGTATGGATGTCAACCCGTAGACTTGAACCCKCGACCTGTAGGACCRCCAGTGGTAGGCAGGGTTTCGTAGGTCACAGGGTAGAAGGGAATCGAACTGTAGACCTGTAGAGTAGGAGTCTAGACAGTTCCGAAGTCGTAGCTGTAGGATGCCTGAAGAGTCAAGGTCGTAGCTGCTACTTACCTGAAAGGGCAAAGTCGTAGTTGCTACAGCACCGAAAGGCCAAGTTCGAGAGTTCTAGAAGTGGCCTTTCGGAGTTGGCCTGTGTTCAGCAAAGGCAAGTGGTCAAGTGGTGGTAGTCCACCTAGCCCAGTCAGCAGTCCCAATCAGTCAATCCGGTCCTGTTCAGCAAGTACCGTCTGGGACTGTGATCACATCGTGGGACAAGGGATACAGGGCAGACCAACGCAGCGCAGAAGTATAAATCAAGAGGCTACGCCCAACCATTCATTCATTCCTGCGGATGCCATGCGGAAGTGCTGCCCCAGCAGCTTGTGCGAGGAGGTCTGCAGTGCGCCTGAAGACGAAGAGGGCAGTGAAGTGTAGTGTAGCGATAGGACAGTGGCAGCCATAGCTGCCATAGCCATAGTAGCGTGTGTGTGTGTGTTGCGTGTAGAGTGTTGCGTGTGGGACATCCAGGGTGATCCAGAGTGCGAACAGTGAGTTGTGTGGGCGCTCAGTCGCCATAGCCAGTTGAAGAGAACTCCTGCCTGGTTACGATATCTTGAGTACTGTGTGGGCGCATGTCGCCAGTTTGCTGTTTCACTGTTTGCATGCATGACAAGAGTGAAGTAGTCGAGTCTGATTGCATACAGCCTCGACGACGCGCTGACTCAAGTCCACAGCCGCCTCCGGCAGCTGGAGCAGCGACCCGTCGCCGCCCCTGATGCCAGCTCTTCCAACACCTCCGATCGCCTTGAGGCATTGGAGATTGACGTCGGATCCCTCAAGGACGGCGTGCAGTTGCAGCAAACGGCAACGCAACAGTTGGAGCAGCGGATCTGTACTGCCGCCAACCACTCGAGCTCGGAACCGCGCGAGACAGCTCCAAAGTTCGATGGGCAGGAGATCTTCTGCGACTCGACGAAGACGGACCCGATTTCATGGTTCTGCAAGTTTGAGCTCACGTTGCAGCTACACTACGTCAAAGAACACAAGCACCATGGGTACTTATACTCGCGCTCGGGGGGTGCGTGCCAAGAATGGTTGGACAATCTCTTGTCCAAGTACGGAGTGGTAGCTGCCGACTTGCATACCAAGATCAGTTGGGATGATCTAAAGGCGGCGTGGCATAAGCGGTTCCAAGTAGAGCCGCCGGAGATCAAGGCAATGGACAAGCTCATGGTCTTCGAACAAGGCACACTGCCGAGTGTTGATTGGATTGCCGAGTACCTACGCTTTACATCCGTCCCAGACATTCAAATGGGCTTCAAAGCCATCAAACACTACTTCATCTCGAGGTCGTGTCCGGCGTTGGGCAATGCCTTGACTCACGTCGAGGACACCCTGATGACACCGGCAGAACTTTTTGACAAGGCCGCGCAGATTACTGTCACGAACAAGGCGGCCAAGAATCTCCCGCGTTCGTTTGTGCCAGGCCTGGGCAGAGATCAACATCGGCCGAAAGTCGTCGTGGTCGCGGCGGCAACGCCAAACGACCAAACTAGCGAGGCCGTGTCTGCCAATGAAGGGGACAGACTCGCAGCTGCCCGGGATGGTGGCCGCCCCGGCAAAGGCCGAGGACACGGCGCACCAGCGCCAGCCCCATGGTCCCACTACGGTATCTCGGAGGAAGCTTACAAGCAACGCACGAGATTCCGCTATTGTCTGTGGTGTAACAGCGATCTCCACGAGACAGTGGGCTGCCCGTCGAAAGGCAAAGGCAAATTGGGAAACTGAGCGCCGCCGGGAGTGATTCGATGACACTCTCGACGCCTTCGGGACCGGTCGCTTCGCGGGTAACCACCCTTCGTTCCGAGGTACATGTGGAAGTCGATAGTCCTCCTCTTCTGTATGAATTTGAGGACTATGTTGCCCGACTCGTTCCTACGCTGGGTACTCAGGCTCAAGGACAAGACGTGTGTGCGGCATCTTCCCCGTCTAGCAGCGGCAACTTATCGTTTTCAAGAGGTTCTTCACGGGATTCGGCGCGCGAGTTCAACAGAGGTATTGGACCCGCTCACGTCCGAGGATTTCGCATGGCTTCCTCTCCCGACCATGGGCCGCTTGTCGGAACCGCAATGCGCAGCACTATGCACTCATCTTCACATGTATCTATCCTTCTATGCACCACCAACTTCGCCAACAGAGGACGAAGTCGCGGTGGGGGACATCCTTGCGTATGTTACCAAGGTGGCCCGCGAGTTTCGCAATCAGCGGTACGACGACAACGACGCACCGCTCCTCTATGTCTGCATCCAAGTTGGGCAAGCGTCCTGCAGCGCTTTGCTGGATAGCAGCGCGTCTCGCAATTTTATGAGCCAAGCTTTTATGCAAAAGGCTGGCCTTGGTGCACAAGTTCGAAGGAAGGCAAACCCGACCGCCATCAAGTTGGCGGACGGAAGGACACAGCAACTTATCGACCGCTACACCGAGGCCGTGCCGGTGTATTTCGCACCTCGTGCGAACCGGTGACATTTGACATTTTGGACACGGACTTTGACATTATTTTGGGAATGCCTTGGCTTGCAAGTGCGTATCACACGGTCAACTTCCATCGGCGGAGTCTTACTGTTCGTGACTCCTTCGGCGCCGAAGTGTTGTGTACTATTCCTCTTCCGCACCCTTCGATTCGGTGCCAAGTGGTGACGACCAAGTCATTCCGGGCTACTTGTGCTTACGAGCAGCCCGACGAAATCGGCCTATGTTTCCTACGGACCGTCGCAGTAGCCGACTCTTCACCCACGGACTTGTCTTCGGACCCCCGTGCGGTGTGGCTGCTTGATGAGTTCGCCGACATCTTCGAGTCACCTACAGGTGTGGTGCCGGATCGGCGGATCTCTCACGAGATCATTCTTGAGGCCGGTGTCATGCCACCGAAAGGTTGCATTTATCGCATGAGCGAGGAGGAGCTTACGGTCCTTCGCGCGCAACTTGATGATTTGTTGGACAAGGGCTGGATCCGCCCTAGTAGCTCTCCATACGGAGCGCCAGTTCTCTTCGTACGAAAGAAGAACAAAGATCTACGATTGTGCATCGACTACCGCAAGCTCAACGCGCAAACCGTCAAGAATGTGGGGCCTCTTCCTCGGATCGACGATCTTCTGGAGCGATTGGGCGGCGCAAAGTATTTTTCTAAGTTGGATTTGAAGTCGGGATATCATCAAATCTCGATCCGACCGAACAATCGTTACAAATCCGCGTTCAAGATGCGGTATGGGCATTTTGAGTGGGTGGTCATGCCTTTTGGCCTCACCAACGCCCCGACGACCTTTCAAGCGGCAATGACCAACGAGTTTCGTGCAATGTCGGACTGGTTCGTGTTGGTCTACTTAGACGATATTCTCGTCTATAGCCGGTCATTGGAGGATCATCTTGAGCACCTTCGACGAGTGTTGGAGACGCTTCGCCGCGCCAAGTACAGGGCCAACCGCAACAAGTGCGAATTTGTCCGGCAAGAGCTGGAATACTTGGGCCATTTTGTCACACCGGAGGGCATCAGTCCGCTACCGAACAAGATTCAAGCCATCCAAGAGTGGCTGGGGCCACGGAACGTCACGGATGTCCGTTCGTTCCTTGGCCTCGCCGGCTACTACCATCGTTTTATCAAGGGCTACTCGAAGATCGTGGCCCACTTGACCAAGCTTCAATGCGAGGATCGACCGTTTGACTTCGGAGAGGATGCACGGGAATCATTTTTGGCTCTCAAAGCAACGCTATTATCTGCGGAGGTCTTGCGCATATACGACCCGCTTTTGCCTACGCTCGACACTACGGATGCGTCCGGCTATGGCATTGGTGCCGTCCTCGAGCAACACGATGGCGTTGACTGGCACCCGGTCGAATATTTCAGCAATAAAGTGCCCGTCGTGCACTCCATTGACGATGCACGCAAGGAGTTCCTCGCCTTCGTCCACACGCTCAAGCGGTGGCGGCACTTCCTCCTTGGTCGAAGCCCATTCCGATGGGTAACATACAATACTTTGTTGGTCTTTTACAAGACCCAAGACACCATTAACAGCACCATCGCTCGATGGATGGCTTTCATCGACCAGTTCGACTTCTTTCCCGATCACATTCCGGGGAAGTCGAACCGTTTTGCGGATGCTCTTTCACGGCGTCCGGATCATTGTAATGCGGTCTATTCAACCTTCGAGATCGACAACGACCTGCGGGACAGCTTTATCCGCGACTACCAAGCCGACCCCGAGTTTCGCGGCAAGTACGTGAATTGCTCCTCTCCTTTCTCACTACTGGATACAAGAGGGGTACTTGCTTGTCCACACACGGGGGAAGAACCTTCTTTGCGTACCGAGTGACCCTCACTTGCGTACACGACTTCTTGGCGAGTTCCACAATGCTCCCGCCACCGGACACTTTGGAGTCAATCGCACGATTGGCCGACTTCGCGAGCGATTTTGGTGGCCCGACCTTCTCGGGGACGTCACACGCTATTGCGAGTCATGCCAGGTTTGTCGACGCTGCAAATCCAGCAACCATCGTCCATACGGCGAGTTGCGACCATTACCGGTCCCCAAGCACAAGACCGGCGTGGATGAGATCCTCACGGTGGTCGACCGACTCACCAAGTTCGCCATGTTTTTGCCTTGTCGCTATCATGCCAAGGCACCGGAGTTGGCCGAGGTTCTTTACGTCGGTTGGATTCGAACCAAGGGTTACCCCAAGGAAATCGTCTGCGACCGCGACACTCGGTTCATGCCCGATTTTTGGTTGGCGCTCATCAAACGATGGGGCTCATCTCTCAAGCCAAGTTCGGCTTGCCACCCCCAAACCGATGGCCAAATGGACAGGGCGCATCAGACCACACAAGTTTTCCTTCGCACTCTCATCCGCCCCGACCAAAAGGATTGGGTTGAGCGGCTGTCGGATGTCGAGTTGGCCTACAACTCGTCCATCCACCCAACTATCGGGATGTACCCCTTCGAGTTCGAGCACAACTCGCCGATCACTTCGCCATTGGACACAATCATTCCACAAACGGCCGAGAGCGACGACCATCTTCTTTTCTTGCGACGGATGCAAGAGCTTGTCAAGGCACGCGACTAGATGGCCAAGACGCAACAACGCATGAGCCAACAAGCCAATCGCCAGCGTCTTCCTTGCCCATTCCGCGTCGGCGATCTCGTTTGGGTTTCCGCCGCGGAATTCAGCCTTGAACAAGATATCTCTCGCAAGCTCCTCCCGAAATGGATGGGGCCCTGGCCGATTGTGGCACCCGCTGGGGATGCCGCCGAGGGACCTTCCTTCACTATTCAGGTGCCCGCCCACTTGCCCGTCTACCCAGTCTTTCATTGCTCCAAGTTGGCTCTTTACACGCCAACAGAACATGACGATTTTCCCGGGCGACGTTCGCAAGACCCACCCTCTATGGACGGTTTTCAGGAGGTCAGCAACATCATCTCCCAGCGACGCTACGACAATAGGCCAACCGAGTACTTGGTACATTTTGTGTACTGCACTCACAAAGCTGATCGTTGGTTGACCCGTGCGGAACTCCAAGCAACAGCTCCGGATGTTCTCGCACGCTACGTAAGCAAAATGCAAGGCAAGCCGGTATCTTCGGCCCCACGTCGCACCCGCGTCCAGGTTCCACCTTCAGATCGCCAGCTTCGCCCTCGACCCAGCTTGACTTCATAAGGAGGGGGAGGTGTTACATGTTGTGCCTGCAACGGGCTGCATGGGCCATTCCCAGGCCCGTGACGTTTTCAGGCCAAAACCTGAAAACAAGGGCCTACAGGCCTTGTGTCGTTTCAGCCTGAAAACCAGGGCCTACAGGCCCTTAGTCGTTTCAGGCTAAATCAGGGCCTTTCCGGCCCTGAGTGTTTTTAGCCCATTTCCGGACCCTCATCAGCTCGACCTGCCCTGAAACTCAAGCAACAAACCAGGGTTTTAGCACAGGCCATTTTGGGCCTGTTTTCAAGACAACCCCTAGTTGAGCTTCAACGCCAGGGTCTGGCACGTTTCGGCATTGGCAAGAGCAGCCTCGTGGACGGGCCAGCACTATATAGGACTGGCCCGCCCTACAGGCACGCAGGTAGTTCCTAGGTACTTCCCATGCACTTCACGTGCAGTTCAGGAGGCAGGAGGTAGTCTTCAGGATTTGGCAGCAGCACTCTGGAGGAGCGCTGCAGGAGTAGTAGCAGCGTTAGCAGTAGTCTTCAACGTTGGGCGCTAGTAGCGTTAGCTGTAGTCTTCAGCGTTGGGCGCCATAGCAGGTAGGGTAGTACTAGAGAGAGAGAGATTGGGCGGAGGCCAGAGGGACTTACCTGCAGCGCCATCGCTCCAGCTTCGCCTTTGAGGTACCTGCAGCACAGTGCCACCTTCACAGGTTAGTACCTAACATACGAGAGAGAGAGTTCTTCTTCTTCCTCTTCTCAGTCCACCATCTCTCTCTCACCCTCTTGTTATCTGACTTCTCTGCATCAGCATTCTGTGCGAGAGAGAAAGAGAGAGCTTGGTGACCTTTGGATCCAGACTCGACATTGGACTTTAGACATTGTGACGAGGGATTATTTGGCACTTGTAACGAGACTTGGTGTTGACGACTTTCCCATCTCTCCCCTCCTCTTCTCCGTCTGATCCCCTCCTCTTCGTCTGTGCATGATCTGGACTTGGCACCTTCTTCCTGTGTATAGCGCCAGGCCCCCCTTCACACTTGTGATGAGAATGATGTATGTGGGGTCTGCGTTGAAACGATGATTGGGCTAGTCATTAGTATTCTAGCATTCTGCTTCGCTATCTTGTACTACGTGAAAGAGGTCAGTCCCGGTCAGGTCAGGACTTGTATCTAATTCTTCCACTGCGCTATAAAACACCATTTTGTATGTATCGGAATGCACATTGCTTGTTGAGACTCCACTTGCACTGCATTGTCCATTCAGTCCTTTTTATCACATTGCGGATCCTCGGTTTATATGTACATCGCCCAACTAGGCATGTAACACCTACCCTTAAACTGTGAGGGTCTGCAATGCTTTTTCGCCTGTTCAATCATGCGAAGCTCGACCTTTCTAAGGTTTTCGACTACCCTAGCGACTTCCTTCTTGTGCAGCAAGGCAAATTCTCTAGTTCCAGGGATCCTGGTTCAGTCCTTCAAATGGCCTACGTGGTCTGAAGGACTTATGCAGCTCGTTAGGAGTTTGACAGGTAGCATCTGCTCTGCCTGGCCGTTTGTCTTTGGATGACGATCGGACGACATCAACAACTCTCATGAGATCTTGCCAATTCCAGCTGGTGTACCGCGTATCCCGATCACTAAACATGGACAACGGTATCCTATGCTCACTTACCTAGAAGTCGAAAAACGTCTCTATAAGTCTGTTCTTACCTTTGAAGGCAAAGGTACGAAAACTGCATACTTGCTAAATCAGTCTACTATGACCATGACTTGACTTTTGCCATGCCTACTCCTTACTCCAGTATCCATGAAATCAATGGACATTGACTCTCCCGGTCCTGCAGGGATAGGCAAGGGTCTGAGGACACCTAAAGGTGCTCGTGTCGTTGTATAGGCAAGGGTCTGAGGAGACCTAAAGGTGCTCGTGTTGTTGTCTTGTTGCGCTGACAAACTTTACAACTGCGAATATACTCTATGCAGTATGCCTTCATGCCAAACATTGTATATGACATCATGAGGTTGGCTAAAGTCTTTTGCCAACCAAAGTGTCCTTCTGTATCATGGCATTCCCCTAGGATTAAACTACGGATTTCTTCATTATTGGGGACGCACAATCTATCAACGACGTTGGTCTTCTCAAAGAGGAGCCCGTTCGTGGTACGATAATTTGGCTCACTATCACGGGGTTGTTTTACTCTCTAGTATCTAGCGTGTAAACTTTGTGCCAATCTTGTTTGAAGTGCACGCATCTTACCATAATTCCTTGAAAGCGAGGCCTTGTAAATTCTGGTATGGAATCTGAAGACAAAACTCTCGACTGAAGTCCAAGGAATTGTGCCCCAGTAATCCATTTGATAGATTACTATAGATCGGATCCTGAGCATATACATCCTTTATCTTTTGCTGCAGGTCCGCCCTATGTCCAAGTAGTGCACTCTCACTCCAAAGTAATCTGCCCTTCTACTTGGAGCGTCGGCTACCACGTTGTACTTACCTTTAACGAGCTTAAGCTCGAAGTCAAACTGGTCTATTTCAGCTAGCCACCTAGTCAACTTGGAGTTTCGTGGTCTGAGTAGACTTTGAAGTGCCTCCCAAGGAGGTAATGCCTCCAATGGTCTAGGGTCTGCCTGAGACCGTAGAGTTCTCTCTCATATGTCAAGGCTACTACTTTTTCAGAGGGCAACTTAGCTGACATGAACTCTACGGGTCTATAGCCGTTGTCGTCATCTTGATGTAATACAACACCTATGCCATACTGACTTGCGTTTGTAGCAACGACAAAGGCAACAAAGGATCGACTACCTTGAGGACGGGGTACTCTACCAGGACCTTCGGCTTCTTCAAGGTCGAGGTGCAATATTGGTCACACTTCCAGACTGCTTCCTTCTTTAGAAGTCTGCGAAGGGGAGCAGCGATAGTGGAGAAGTTCCTCACAAACTTCTTATAATAGTTGGTCAGTCCTAAGAACGATTGCAACTCAGTCAGAGTGCGAGGAGATGGCAGGTCTCTAATCGTTGCTATTTTGCTGTCCTCTGGTCTAATATCGTCTCCATCTAACACGTGCCCCAAGCGAAGGACTTTTGTTGTGGCCCACTTGCACTTCTCTGCGTTGAATCGCTGCTATCTTGCCGTCCTCTGGTCTAATTTCGTCTCCATCTAACACGTGGCCCAAGTCAAGGACTTGTGTCTTGGCCCACTCGCACTTCTTTGCGTTAATCTCGAAGTTCGCCTCTCTCAACTTCTCCAAGATTTGCCTCAGATGGCCCTTATGTTCTTGGAGGGTCTTACTGAAAACTAGAATATCATCTAACTACACCACTACGAATCTATCTAGCCACGACCTAAACAAGTCGTTCTTGCAACGCTGAAATGTGGCTGGTGCATTAGTCAGTCCAAAGGGCATCACTATAAACTCATAATGCCCGTATCTTGTCTGGAACGCTGTCTTGTACTGATCATCAGAATGTACCTCTATTTGATGGTTCCCTGACTTCATATCTATCTTTGTGAAGTACTTACAACCTTACACCCGATCCAACAAGTCGTCTATGCGGGGCAAAAGTTATGCATTTTTGACAGTTATGGCGTTCATACTCCTATAGTTTAGTCTCTATCTTTCTTGGGGACGAACAAAACAGGTGTGCCAAAAGGAGATGAGCTAGGTCTAATCCACCCTTTTTCGAGGAGCTCGTCCTCTAATTCCTTGGGAGACATTTTGTAGACTGCTCCCTTAGGCGTCCTACTGCCAGGCTCTATCTCTATGTCGTGTTGAATGGGTCTTGGCACTACTCTTGAGGGTGCCTCCAATAAATCTTTTTACTCTTCAGCAAACTGGCGATAGTGGGATGGATCTCTTCCTCCTTTGGCTGATCAAAAGTTGGCTTAACATAAGCTACAAACACCCGTTCCTCAAGCTCCTCCTTTTTAATAAGTCTGGCGAATGTAGAAGCACTGAGGCAGCAATGTGCCAGGGAGTTGTCGACTCCTGACGCATGGAATAGGCGGGCTTTCTTGACCACACCTGACGAACTAGGGAGTCTGCACTCGTGCTCTCTAAGGTGCAAAGTGGCCCCGGCTGCCTCTCCCCAACCTGTTCCAAGCACTATGTCAAAAGGGAGGTTCTCTTCTACGAGAAGAGTTAGGGAGTGGAGGACTTTCTCTACCTTCTCTTCTTGCTCTAGGCGAAAGTACGCCTGGACTCCCTCTACGTATTCCTTGACCCGCATTGTGCGGTTGTCTGCGAGGATGTTGACTACATGTTCTTTCAACTTTTGGACATTGAGGCCTAGCCCCAACTTCTCAGCGCCTTTCAACTGATGCAACTTCTGGTGTCCCCACTGTCTATAAGGGCCCCTACTCTAGCTTTAAAAATCTCTACGTCTGCTAATAGGAGTTGCCCCTTTCCATCCTTCTTCATCTTGGACCAGGACTGACTCCTCTCCTTCAATTCTTCAACCAAGCATGTGAGGGAAGCGCCTAGAGAGACTCTACCACAAGCAGTCTCTGGGCCGCTAGCTAGGTGCTGACCAACAACCTCTGCCATGGAAACGCGTGGAGTGGGAGTCTCTGTCTTGCGCGCACGCTCATCTCCAAGTGAGTCCTAGGGTAGGGGCAGTTACTACCTCTATCGGCGGTTGCCTTTTGCTGCCCCAGATGCAGCATTGCGGAACCCCGTATACCTCGGGCATAACTTGATGATGTGCCCGGGGTCGCTACAGAACACGCAAAGGTACTTGTCAATACGTTCCTGCCAAACATTCTGATCAACATTAAGGGTTTCCCAAGGCCTCCCTTCAGGCCGTCGAGGGTGCGATGCACCCCTTCGGGGAGCTGATCAACTAGGACTAGGACGGTTAGTCGGGGGACCTCGACCCCTTCGTCCCGCTTGGCGGTCTCTATTGCCACCAACCCCCTGGCAACCTTATCCTCGACCACCTGAGGCCTGGCCATTCCTACCTCGGCCTTGTCCTCCTCCTTGTGGCCTCTCTCCGGTCGCGACAACAGCGTAAGAACTCCCCTGGTCTACCCTACTGTCCTCCTCCTCTAGCCCCCACTATATGTCAGTAGGGGACCTCTTCTGCACTACCACCTTCCATCGTAAGGATCAGATTATCCTTGGACTTGACATGGCCCGAGATTGTGCGTCCTTTCCACTTTTTGCCCTTTGCTAAGTCCTTGTGCCAGAAAGTGGTAACTAGCATGGACTAGGCGGCAAACGCAACAACCTCTCTACTTTGGGGATCATAAGTCATTCCTGGTTGACGCTTCTTGTCAAGAAGTTCCCTTGTAAGTGCTCGGGCAACGCGCGATAAAAGAGTTGAATTAGTTGTGCTTCTGTGACTCCATGCCCAGACACAACAATTAACTCATCCATATCCGCTTTCAGAGCATGTACACTTCTCCATTGCCGCGTATGGAAGGTTTGAAGTTTGTCAGACGCCTTAATCCCACTAGGGACATCTGCGAAGCGTTCTCACAGTGCAGCGAGAAAATTGCTAAGGTGTGTAACGACATAATAGGCAACCATGTCATTTTCACAACGGGCGGCGCGTGTGAGTGACCTAGCGAAACTACTCGCTTCTTCTCTCAACGCCTGGAAAGCTATCAAGACATGGTCCTCATGAGGTATGTCTTGTAAGAGCAGGTAGGACTTAACATTGGCTTCCCAATTGTTAAAGTCCTCCTC